ATGGTCTCTCCCTCGCTCTCTCTCTCTCTCTCGCTCTCTCTCTCGCTCTCTCTCTCTCTCGCTCTCTCTCTCGCTCTCTCTATCGCTCTCTCTCTCTCTCACCCTCCCTCTCTCCACCCCCACCACCCCGAGTGATGCAGGTTCGATTATTGCCGATTTTTCCTTAATAAGATTTCCCGAAATTTCAGGCCGGTACATACAGTGTTTACTATATAAACGGAGCTCCTACTCAAATACTAATAATAACTAACTAGATAGATTGATAAATAGATAGATTATCGTTTTTTTTTTGTTTTGTTTTTTTGTATAGATTCTTTTAAAAACTCAAATAATTATAATACTCTGAATTAATGTGTTTTCTTTGACATTCGAATTTGAAAGATTATAGCTTATTATTTTCTCAGCAGGTTGAATAAATGCTGCCTTTCATTCGATACTTTAGCGACACTGACCTGATGATATTTTTACATTGATCGACAGACGCTCTTTGCATTTCGCCTGGTTATATCTGCCTTTAATGTCGCATAATAAGAACATATTTATGCTTCTATTCTTGTACCGGTGTCAGTGTGCATCTTCAGCCTCTTCTGGAGATGTACGCTTTTCATATTACGATATTAACTTACACGACTCACTTTCGTTTCCATTCATATGTCATATCATGTGATAAGCCTACGTGATATCTTCTCTTTTACAGACAGAACCGAACCCAATCCATTTAATTCTGTTTCGACTGTTTGCTTTAGATTTTAATATCTCTAGGTGAACTCTTTAACAATCTATTCGCTGATGCGTTCAATCTTCGCTCGGCATCCAACTAGGATGAAATGGAATCTTTCGCAACGGAAAGACAGTTCTGGCATTTGAACAATGCCAATATCCAAAATGGTTGGCGGTCAAGGATAATTATTTGGCGCTCTCCAAAGAGAAAATTCAAAATTCCTGATATCGCTGCGTGCAGCTAAGTCGATCATCGATTTGAAATAAAGTTTCTTCAATCGGTTGCACGCTGTGTACATAGTGATATTGCTATTTAGTTATCGCTTAGCAGTGGCTTTGCAAAAGCTCTGTAGAGAGCACTTACCTGCCTTTTTTTTTATTCTACTCGTATTGAAATTCAAATGTTTGAGAAATGTTATGAAAAACGGCGAAATATGTTATGTAGAAATGCGAAAGCGCTTTGCAACAGCCGAAAATAAATAAATAAAATAAATAATGATATAATGGAATATGCGTCCACCTGTGTTCCCCTCACTGGGATATGATTGGCTGGTGTCCGTCATAAATACCGACGGACGTGTAGGAGAGTCATGAGCCTTAGTCTGAGAGCTAAGTCTATAACGACACCCACTGGACTACGCCATTGATCTACACTTCTTACCTGCGACTACGACTCGTACCAGTCGATTACTGCTACCGTATTCTACTTGGTTATAGTAGCCAAAACCACTTAGCTACTTTTTTTCAAATATATCCCTTTCCGGGAAATATCAAATAATAATATTAATAAAGGAAAAGCAAATACCATCGACCACAGCTGAACTCAAAAACAGAATATCACCCATAAACACCTTGGCTGTCCTTGTGGTGCAATACAACTTTAACATCTATAATTGCACCATAGCTGACATTAAGCGAATGGATGCCAATACGAGAAAGATATGGACTTCGGATTAGATAAATGTGCAAAAGTAACATTCAAGAAAGGTAGAATTACAAAAACACCCTTAATAGATTTAGATTTTGTCACAAATATTAGGGAACTGGAGCATTATGAAGCTTGTAACTACCTAGGAATTAGCGAAGGAGATGGCATACAACACCCCAAATAAAGGAGAAGCTAAGAAAGGAGTACTACAGCCGTGTACGTCTGGTACTAAATACCGAGCTAAACTCAAAAAACAGAATATCAGCCATAAACACATTGGCTGTCCCTGTGGTGCAATACAGCTTCAATGCCCCTAACTGGACCATAGCTGAAATTAAACGAATGGACGCCAAAAATAGAAAGCTACTCACTTGCTACCGCATGTATCGCCCCAAATCTGAAATTGATCGTCTGTATGTGCATAGATCCGAAGGAGGCAGAGGATTAGTTCAACTAGAACTGTCTTACAAAACTACAACAATTGGCCTTCAAAGATACCTGGAAACTACCGAAGACTGGATGATGATATGTGTCAAAGAACATGAAAGTAGTTTGCGCCTTTATTCCGTATTTAAAGAAGCTAACAATTTCAAAATGGAGTTTCAAATGGGCGCAGAAATGCAAGTAAAGCACAGTACACCGGCTGAAGGTGCAAGATACTTAAAAAAGACAGAAAAAACAAATGCAACCGACCAGACACAGAAACGATGGCAATTTAAACCGCTGACAGACCTCGTACTCATCAGTGGTGAGAAAATATGAGACACCATTATTGAGGAACGGTGGAGTAATGGATAGCGACTCGGGTTGAGGAATCGGAGAGCCGAGTTCAAATTCCACTTGAATCCATTACATTCATATAACCCTATATATAGGATTTTTATTATATATATTCAAATAACTCTTGGAGAGAGGTATGATCATCTATGGATAAATAGCAGGACAGACCAGGTTTTATAGCCTTGGATGGCAACTGGTCTACCGCAGAAAGAAATGGCAACTTACTGTGGGAAAAACTCTGCCTCGTCAGTCATGTATCTAAAGATACATGATCACCTAAGCGTGAATCACGCATAACTGACTGATGATGTTTTGCAGGAATTCAAGTGTAGTGTAGCTATTCAAAGGATCATTATTTGCGTTAATTTCAACACAAAGACCTTGAAGTAAAACAGCAATCCATTGCTACTTTTCCCTGCCATCATCATCATCATCACGTCGAGAATTCTTCTCCGATTCTCCTGACTCGTTCCTTCCAACCAACTCTGTCAGACATCGCCGTCGGCAGGTTCTCCAAATGGCATTCAAAGTCATCTACAAGTTGGTGAATTTAGGCGTGATGAGGTTTTCCAACCGGACATTTGCCGCGCAATTGTTTCATAGGAGGGTGTCACTCACAAGTTCTGGAGTAGCCAGCTATCCGAATATATATATATATATATATATATATATATATATATATATATATATATATCAGCGAAATTGATACTGGATGAAGTTGTCCATACGGGCGTTTCTTTGTTGGGTGTTTTTTCCATCTGATGTCCATTGCAATTCGTAACATCTTTGGGCATATTCATTACCCGCTATGGTTAAAGAGCAATCAATATAGAACAAGAGCAATTTCGAATTGAAAACCGTGAATATGGCAAAGGGAAACAACTCTACTAAATTTCCCAAAGAGTTATGGGAGTTCGCATGAATTTTAATACATCCCCAAGAAGCCATTTTAACTCCCTTCTCCCAGTGTAAGCTGGACTGGGTGCCTGGGCTCCGAAATTAGTCACAATGATACTCTTTTAAGAATTAGCTATGTCTTGATTTCTGGATAGAAGAAAACGTGTTCTCTCCGTCTGCGTACATTTCCTTCATTCCCGGACTGTTTGTCTCTTCATTAAGAGTTAGAGATCCAAATATTAGAGTAATTCCTGAGGAGGTTAAACCCATCAGCAAGTGCATAATATCATATTGTCATTTTCTAAATTCTATCTCGACTATTCAGAAGCTTCCGGTGGAGGCCTTTCAATGTCGGGATGAAGTGTACAGTTGTTGCAATTTTAATCCAAGTAGTTGATGCCCTCACGACTTGGGAGTGTGGCTGTTCCGCCACCTTGTCTTTACCCGTTCTAAGATTTCAATATACCCACAAAAGATAAAATAGAAAAACGAATCTTTAAAGACCTATAATAATTCTGAAGGGGCAACTCATTAGAAATGACGATATTCAGTCAACCCCCACGAGGGTGTCATGTGGCACAAGGCCTTTTTAACGTGGGTATTCCGAGCCCGTGGGCTCGGCCAAAAATATGCCCATTGAACCCGTATAAACGGGTTCTGGGCCGGTCTACCTCCCCGAAGGCGACTCCGCCCTTCGGCGTAGCCTCCTTCGGGTTCCTCCCGTCCGTAGGAAGAGAGTACACCCGAACCGTAGCTCAGAAAGTACTGGGTCGACTGACTCAATTAGAAATGACAGCGTAGACAAGATATATATATATACAGTACAGTTGACATATAGGATAGATAAGAGCACCCTTGAGTAAATTAATTGAATCTGCCGCTTTAGTTTCCTTTCTTTCCCCATACGGTCAGTTTTACAACCACTGGAGTGACAGGGTGTAATCGATTTCTATTTTTCGCTCAGATTAGATCATTTTGCAGTTGTGTGCAGTCATATGAATTTATTTTCGGGGTGTATGATGAAATTTGGTCTTGAAAAATATTGCGTCATCCGTGATTGCATCAGATTTTTATCATACCCAGACACTATTATCTCGACAGTCGATAAGTTGTCCTACGACCATTTCCTGCGATGAACGTTACTCCAAGGAAGCGGACGAAAATTGTAACATTGCAAGAACACACTGTCAACCCTTATCAGTAAGCAAATCAAATTACTATAAACAGACCCAGAAACTCTCCTGATTCAAATCCAATCGAGAATCTGGTTAATCTGCAAGGAACGACGTCGTGGAATTGACATACGAAGTACTAGCATGTGCACTAGTTCATGTTTCACAGGAAAAATATGAGAAAAAAGTAGATAATAATGGAACTATTCGTTTTGTTTCAATTAATTTGTACAAGGGTGTATGTCGCTTATCACCTACAAGAAAGGTATATATCCATCTCTTCTCCTCCTTCATCTAGGTTAAATATTAGGGAAAACTGTTTAATTCAATACCGGTTGTAGATGAGGTTAGCAAGTCCCTCCCGTAAGAACTTACTAATTGTTATGGAAACCACAGTAGAAATGCCGAGTGCGTTTATAGCTGTGATTCCATTCTCCACAAGGAGAGTCCAAGAGATTTGAGTGAGCATAAGCCAGAAATTACAGGTGTCTAAATCCGAATTCTTGTAGTATTGAGAGATCTATATTATGCGATTGTCTCCTAAAAATCCTGCTCGATAAGAAATGGTGAAGAATTAGGACTCGGGATATTCAAAAGAATTTAATCAGAGAGACATTAAGAGACTTCGTGTATG